GGCCCCAATTGAACAGAAAGTAAGATTTGAAAAGATAGATGGGGCATCTCTATCCTGCGATAGCTACAATACGGTCAGTTTCGTCAAATCTGTAATATGTGTTACTTTTTTTCCTTTCTCAAGACCGACACATCGTCTGTGTTAATTGTCAGTTCGTCTGTCCCGTCCGCCACGGTTACTTGTCACGTGTTCGATGTTCATACTTTATAGTGGCGTTATCATAGACCACACGCACGTGCATTTATATACATATTCATGGCTGAAACGTTTTCGATAGTTAAAAAAAGAAGAAGATAGAAATAGAAATTGTATTACACATTTAGAAAACAAACATACTTCGATGTTTCCATTTTTTTCCAATACGACTGTGTATTTTAAGTACCGTGTACTGGTATATGTATACATGGTTTTCGGTTTGGATCAAACCGTCCATGGTCGCGCTCCAGTTTGTTCTCTAAGTCCGTGGTTCAGCAGAGGCTGTATTATAATATACACGAACTGATACGGCAAACGTTCGATATTTAAAATGATGAGTATCTTTACTTCACTGTGATAGAATCACGGACCGAGCAGTAGTAGTTTGGGTATATCTGTGTAGATAAGATACCATTACAATATTTACACGTGCCAATAGCCTAATCAACCTGTCAGCGCCCCATTAGAGAGTTTGGAGGCTAAATACTGGAGCGAGTAAATAACAGACAATCTTGGCCGACCCGGTCAAATAGATAGCTCACTGTAACGTCGGCGATCTCACCTATTTAAACTGACATGTACAATTTCTAACCTGTCCATCAGTCAAGCAGGGAAACTACATTAGAAATGTCTAATAATAGAAACGGTATTATCTATTTTCCGACTGGTTTGAACTTGTCAGGTTTCAATAAACATCATATTAAAATGAAATTTTACGAGTACTACACATCACCGCAGTTTTATATGTTTACAAGTTGATACGGAACCTTTACTTCCACGCTAAGGATAAACGACGTAGTAGTCAAATCAATAAACGACCTTCAAAGTTGTGACGAATGTTGTTTGTAACAGTTTCTGCGATTTCACTTAGATTCAATTTCATCTTAGACATGTGTGACGTACATTTCTTTTGACTACGTCATGTAACTAAATATGAATACCTGGTCTAGCGTCACGGTTATACGACATATTACTATATATAACCCTCATGTAACTACATATGAATACCTGGTCTAGCGTCACGGTTTACGTCATATTACTATATATAACCCTCATGTAACTAAATATGAATACCTGGTCTAGCGTCACGGTTATACGTCATATTACTATATATAACCCTCATGTAACTAAATATATTTACATTTCTACTGAACTTGGACTCAAAATACCTACTAAACATTTTAAAGGTGTGTTTCTTTCAATGAACTTTTAAGTTGGCGTATGAATACATCAGCATATTATCAATCTGATTACTCTGTTATTCCGCGGAGCACAGGAAGTAGTTCTATTAATAGCTTAATTTGTTTTTTCGTTGTAATCAATGCAAACAAGTTATTCATCTAAACCAGGACGACGTCTAACAGTGAGTGATGACATCTTAAGCTTCGGTACCTTCTGTGGTGTTAGACTTGCACCAGACTGACATTTCAAAAATTATCCAAAAAATATCAATATCGCGCTGAATGTATATATATATATAAGGATAGAATCCTGTTTTGTTGAGGTTAGTCTCAACACCCATTGAGCTTTATACCCCATAAACCTCAATCCTTAAATAAACACCTGGTTTAGTATCATGGCTATACCTCATTTAACTAAATTAGATATATATGTTACTTTTTTTATAAGGGAGATAACTCCAACACGAATTTATAATAGTATCCGTAACATATATTCTTAACCATAACAGAAACACTGTCTTGCCTTTCAGCGCCAATTCAAAACAACATTTTCACGTATGCATCCAAATGCTATAAATTATAATTATTTAACTCTCTCTAGAGACTTATTCTAAGACTGCTTTCAGAAGCCCCAAACTTGGTCACTTTTCAAAGCCTACTTATAGCGTAAACCTGAAAAGTCATATGATAAAAAGCAAGAATGTCAACGTACAGTATTAACGGGAAAAGTAACAGACCTGAACAAAACTCATCACAATCTATCTTAACAGAATCCTGCTCTTACTAGAAACCTATGTAAACAAGACCTCAAGCTTGATTGAAAATATATAAAAAATATATCTAAATAACATCCGATGCAATAGGAAAACCTTCTTATTCCGAATAAAAAAGAGGTGCTACGGTGTTCGGTTTAAACAGGTAATGTGGTATTATCTTTGAAATATATTTCTTACGCTAAAATGAAGATTTGGGGAACAGGGGCCATTTAGTAGTGTTTATAAAAGGAATGCGACACGTTCACCATGTACCTTGTAGGTACTACCTATATCTCCACATAATCACATCTATAGAATGGACAATACGTAAAGTACAATCCCGCAAATCGACGTAATGTACAATAAGTAAAGTACAATCCCGCAAATCTAAGTAATGTACAATACGTAGAGTACAATTCCGCAAATCTACAGAATGTACAATACGTAAAGTACAATCCCGCAAATCTACGTAATGTACAATACGTAGATTACAATCCCGCAAATCTACATAATGTACAATACGTTAAGTACAATCCCGCAAATCTACAGAATATACAATACGAAGAGTACAATCCCGCAAAACTACAAAATGTACAGTACGTAAAGTACAATCCCGCAAATCTACAGATTGTACACTACGTAAAGTACAATCCCGTAAATCTACAGAATGTTCAATACGTAAAGTACAATCCCGCAAATCTACGTAATGTACAATACGTAGAGTACAATCCCGCAAATCTACGTAATGTTCAATACGTAAAGTACAATACCGCAAATCTACAGATTGTACAATACGTAAAGTACAATCCCGTAAATCTACAGAATGTTCAATACGTAAAGTACACCCGCAAATCTACGTAATGGACAATACGTAGAGTACAATCCCGCAAATCTACGTAATGTTCAATACGTAAAGTACAATCCCGCAAAGCTACAGAATGTACAATACGTAGAGTACAATCCCACAAATTTACATAATGTACAATACGAAGAGTACAATCCCGCAAATCTACAGAATGTACAATACGTAGATTACAATCCCGCAAATCTACAGAATGTACAATACGTAAAGTACAATCCCGCAAATCTACGTAATGTACAATACGAAGAGTACAATCCCGCAAATCTACAGAATGTACAATACGTAAAGTACAATCCCGCAAATCTACAGAATGTACAATACGAAGAGTACAATCCCGCAAATCTACATAATGTACAATACGTAAAGTACAATCCCGTAAATCTACAGAATGTTCAATACGTAAAGTACAATCCCGCAAATCTACAGAATGTACAATAAGTAAAGAACAATATATCTACAGAATGTAACCCTTACTTGTATTTAATACTTATAAAGTACAATTCTGCACATCTCTACAGAATGTACAACATCTACGTTTTTTAATGTTCGGTATGCTGTTTAAGTGGAACATTCGCTCCGGATTTATGTTATGAAAATAATAAAATCTCGTATTTTACCACGATAGACCATGCTGATAATTTCCAACAGCCGTGAATAGCGAACCGGAAGTTGGCTGGAGTCCATCTTTACGGATCATTTCTCTCAATGATTGGAATAATAAAATCATCTTATCGTTGTGGCGCTTGAAACCATGCATTGTATACTGCGTAACAGTAAGGCACCATGTACTCTGTAACATAGGGGTATGGCACCATCATTTCAGTCGGTATAATGTTTATAATCATAATGTATAACTAGACCTTCTGTTAAATGTTATCTGTAGCCACATCCAGCAGACCGCTTAGACTAATGGACCTACATAGTCTCTCAGCGTGAAATTATACCGCCATTTATCAAAGAATCATATCTCACTGTTGGAAACGAAATTATCCAATTTTATATTATCATCGTCCATTACTCTGACCGGACTAACTTCTAGCCCTGTTCTGGCTATGTTTTCATTATTTTTGTTAAACTATATATATTATCATTTATACTCAGCCAGCAGAACAATGAGACATTTCTCTATCACACAGCTTTTCCAGTATAGACAGGTTCAATAGTAGAGACATTTTCGAATTTTCAGAAGACGGCGTCATCAATGGATACATAGTCACTGAACTAATTAGGAAAACTACCACAACGGACTGAACAGGTAAAGACAGGAAACGGTGAAATACCATCACGTATATAGGAATCTGAAAGAGAAACAATTTTACGCAAAAACAATTTTATAAACATGGAAAATATCAATATACAAGAAACAATTTATTTTCTGTCCCAGGCTTACAATCCAGTAGCCTCTTGTAGAAGACAAATGGTTTTCAGAATAAAAAATTAAAGCGACACTCCTCGCTTTGTCGCGGCGTCAACAGTAACTATGATACATATTGGAAAGAAGTCAATGTTGATCATTCTGTTGGTAGGCAAATCAATCAAAACAACATATATCACCATCATCAGGTAGGAGACCACAGGTAAGAAACGGTGGTAGAAAATAGCAAATAGAAAACAACAGGTAAGAAACGGTGGTAGAAAATAGCAAATAGAAAACAACAGGTAAGAAACGGTGGCAGAAAAAAGCAAATAGAAAATAACAGGTAAGAAACGGTGGTAGAAAATAGCAAATAGAAAACATCAGGTAAGAAATAAAGAAAAGGTCATCAACCTCCGCTCTGTGGGAGAAATTTTAAGAGGTATTTTGGCGTAGGGAAAGTAAGGTAGTTCACCGAAATTTGTACACACAGGGGAGAGAAACACTGGAAAACTGTCGGTGTCAAACCCCACTGCATTTCGTGTTCAAAATTCCAAACAGGGTCAATGTCGTGTTCATGACGCCACGACAAGGAAAGCTTGGAAGACGCAGGCATCCGGGCTCTTTCACTCCACACGGTCAAACATACTTACACTGACCGGAGACTTTCTAATGTTATCAACCTTGGAATCAGATGACCGCCCACTTAGGATTCTAGGTCCGACACTTGAGCTAACACGGGCACTCCCGATACTAGGAACGTGAACACCGCTATTACTACGGGCACGTGGAACCGCTAGTAGACTAGCGACGTTAGTTCCGGCCCGGACTCCACCATAACTGCGACCAGGACCTGCTATACTCCTACTGCCATAGAGTTGTGGCGTTTCACTACTGTGTCCTGTACTGGAGTGGTACCCGCTGCCTAAGGATTTCCCGCCACCGGTGCTTTTGTAGGCACCGGTATTAAAGGTCACCCCAGAATTGGCAGTGCTATTACCAGATGGTCCAGCACCGAAACCTGTTACACGTCCACTAGTGGAAGCTGACCGGTAACCGGAACCGGAAGTAGAGAGACTAAGGCTATCTGGTCGTGATATGCCGGAAGTAGAGGCATCATTAAAGCTGGGACGTGAAGAATTAACAGAGTAACTTCGACGACGCTAAACAAAAGAAACATACATGTTGATGAATAGCTCTTTAGTGACATCAACCTCCCATGATGTTGTTAGAAGTTTGAAGGGATTTATTTTATTTGATGAGAAACTCTTCTATAAAGGTTTTTTTTATTTTGACGGATTAAAAATTGATGTGTTAATGTCTCATTTTAAAGTCGTTTAGATCCGTCTATCAAATGAGAGGGTCTATATCCAGAATTGAATGAACGTTTGTTTACCATTCTATTGAAGATACAAGACCAAGATGGCGTCGCCTAAGTCAGTACTGTGGTGACCGGATGTGCTTCTGGGTATTACCTAAACAAACACAGCGTAAATTTATAGGTAAAGACAGATATGATGGTCTCGTGACTTAAGACAGTTGGAGCATATGTCCCCAAATAAAGTTCAAGTTTTTTTAAATATTCCGTCATCTAAGGGCTGGTTTGAGAGTCGGCTGGAAATTAGAAAAAAAATCACGGGTAAGCTATACTCGAGTGTAAATTGTACCACTTTCGTATCGATGAAAATTGCTCATCTTTGATTTTCGGTCTGCTTTGTCTAAGACTTGTGAAACAAAGTAACCGAGTGTTTACTTCTGAGAAGTGGGTTTCTGACAGTATACACCAGACCTACTACAATCACCGGAGTTTTTAAGTACCTTTTTTCAAGTTGCACTTACTGACCCCGCGGGAATTCTCTGGTAGATAAGTACGTTACAGCGGAGGTAAACAACCCGTGTCTTCAAGGCTAGGTTATGTTCTGTTTGTCTAATTAAACATTACGCAAACTCGGTAAAATAGTAACAGATCGAAATCGCGTAGTGTCTGTGTAGGTAGCACCTGGAACCGACTGTTTCATACTGCTAAAATTATAGATTTTTCTGTTTTTATTTTGTATCACTCAACACAGCTTCTAAGGCAACAATATATTAGTTGAGAAAAAAATATTTCGGATCCTAAATGTATTTGTCGATTTTACCTTGTGTATTATAAAAGTATACATGTCTACCATGTGTCTGTATACTTTGTATATAAGTAGATCTAGTATATATACAATCATAGGAAGACCTTTACGTACTGTTGTTTGTTTCTATACAGTTGGTCTATGCTGCTGTTTGGTACGATATTTTGGCAACACACATTCAGAAATTGTGACCAGACATCCTAAAAACCGGAACCAACTCTGTTAAATATAAATGTTAATATTCCGTTCCAGCACTCGTGGTCCCATGTTCTTGTGTTGTATCCACACACCTATATCTCCCAGCTTTTAGAGTTAAATTCTAAATTTAGACACGACACAGCCCAGAACATACCATTATGTCAGTAAAAAATCATCCCGTCACAGTTTGTTGTCTGATAGCGGGTCTCTTAGCGGGATATTTGTGCCAAAAATATAGAAAACGTGTCGACGCGTTAAATATATAGAACATGTAACGCCGACAAAAAATCTAAAAGAAACAAAAATCATTTATATACGGGTTTTACATAGTGGATAATGATGTCTGGGTGATGTACGTATAACGACAGAAATCAACCTTTTTTTCTTTCATTCTGAATCCACAAACCACTCAGTGTGGTTGTTCCATTCAACAAAATCTCCATCGGGCCTGTAACGATCGCTTGTTTATTTGTTTTGTAGACAAAGAGTTGAAATGTTTCAGGTACCTTAAGACCAAAAAGTTGAATATTTTCTGGTAAAAGGTCAGCGTCTCAGATTTTTAATTGACCCAAATAATCCCTGGTAAGGACAATAACAGGTTCATTAAAGGTGGTCTGACAGTTTGTTTAAAAAAATTAGAGGGCAGGGTAGCCATTTTGGATTTCAAAACAACTCAAAACCTCTTAGGGACCATGACAGCATTATGTATATCGCTTTGGTCCATTGTCCCGTCGGCAGTTTAGGAGAACTTAAGTAACAATCGGTCAGTCAGTGAACATTAGGTGATCAGTTGGGCATGACATGATCATTTGCAACAATCCGCAAATGTTTACCCCCATTTCTACCCCTCTCTTCCCAAGGAGACCAAAATACACTTCATTTACAACACTTAATATTCTCTCTTTATCAAGGGACGTTCCTTGCTAAATGTGGTTCAAATTCCTTCAGTTGATTTTGAGGAGTAATATTATAAAGACATCACTAACCCACGTTTGACCCCATTTCTCGGTCGGGTTTGGAAGGGGACACCTTTCGTTTATACAACAAATTCCCGTGGACGGGGAATGAGCCATCCGCCCCGAGGGCAGGAAGGGGGCACTATTGATAGGAGTTACCCTTGCCGAGTGAAGTAATAACACCTTCACATGTACTAGAGACGGTTTTTTTAATGTACGAACTTCTATTTCTTCTTCATTAAGACAACAACACACTTTCATGTTCTGAAGCATCTCCATTTTTACTCTAACACTTTATTTTCTTTACCTTCACAACGCAATTGGAATTCGATGACGCAATGAACTTCAAGTGTTGTGACGTCACAACTGTAACAGTGGCAACCTACAGTCGAGCACAGCTCCGCGATGTGTTATTAAACGTGTGTCCATAACAACGTTAACCCAAATGAAGTTATTTGTGTTATGACACTGATAACAGGGTATTTATGTGATAAATCAGATTATGATGAGTTGAAATTATAGGTGTCAGTAAGCACTCGGGAGGGATACACTGAGCTGTCAGACTTGACCATGTGTATAGTGTTGGCTAACACTACAGCACTCGCCCTCAATGACTCGTCTATATGTACAGAGAGATTGATCCCAGGTGTGAACATTCTAGCGCTATGACCAGGTACTTCAGAAACCCCACGAGAACTGGTAAGCATGGTTATGATCGAAACTGACCAGATAAGATACACAGATCGGCAAAAACAACTTGATCAGGCCGTACACATTTATGTTTTGGCCAGTCGTTATGACCTCCTATGAGGGTTGTTTACTAGGGATTTACGGTGTTTTCAGTACCAAGATCTTACTGGATAGTCAACAGATTACCGTAACAACCCTCTCGTTTTATATCCAGTTATGCTGTGAGCAGAGTTTGGAAACACTTCAAATCCGGCCGTAACACCCTCGTGAAGCACGAGACAGTTTCTATCTATTAAAACCTGCTCTCGCTGTTAAGAATAGGCTGCGATATGATGATTATATAAGTACTTGCAAATGTATTGCTGTTTCGCTTTGAAATAGTTTCTGTTATCATAATGAAAAGATATTATTCCTGGTACTGCACGGACCGGCGAATCTATTTGTATTTCTTCTAGATTGAGACCATGGAGTTTTTATTCTCTAAAAGATGTAAATACTCCTAAAGTTGTCCGAACTTTTTATTGTAACTTTTTAGTCATGATCAAATTACGTATACGGTATTTATACAACAATAATTTTTAAAGACGCAAGTTTTAACTTGTTTGTAATAACTAAAGCCAAAACATTACAGGTATACACACACAGTTTGTGAACCACTAAGCTAAACCTCAGTACAAAAGGTTTGTGAATCACTAAGCTAAATCTTAATACACGTGGTTTGTGAATCACTAAGCTAAATCTTAATACACGTGGTTTGTGAATCACTAAGCTAAATCTTAATACACGTGGTTTGTGAATCACTAAGCTAAATCTTAATACACGTGGTTTGTGAATCACTAAGCTAAATCTTAATACACGTGGTTTGTGAATCACTAAGCTAAATCTTAATACACGTGGTTTGTGAATCACTAAGCTAAATCTTAATACACGTGGTTTGTGAATCACTAAGCTAAACCTTAATACACGTAGTTTGTGAATCACTAAGCTAAACCTTAATATAAGTGGTTTGTGACTCACTCAGCTAAATCTTAATACACGTGGTTTGTGAATCACTCAGCTAAACCTAAATAAATATGGTCCATGAATCACTTAGCTAAATCTGAACACACGTGGTCTGTGAATCACTAACCTAAACCTAAATACTTTTGGTTTGTGAATCACTAAGCTAAATCTTAAAACACGTGGTTTGTGAATCACTAAGATAAACCTTAATACAAGTGGTTTGTGAATCACTAAGCTAAATCTTAATACACGTGGCTTGTGAATCACTAAGCTAAATCTTAATACACGTGGCTTGTGAATCACTAAGCTAAATCTTAATACACGTGGTTTGTTAATCACTAAGCTAAACCTTAATACACGTAGTTTGTGAATCACTAAGCTAGACCTTAATACACGGAGTTTGTGAATCACTAAGCTAAACCTTAATATAAGTGCTTTGTGAATCACTAAGCTAAACCTTAATACAAGGGGTTTGTGAATCACTAAGCTAAATCTTCATACACGTGGTTTGTGAATCACTAAGCTAAACCTTAATACAAGTGGTTTGTGAATCACTAAGCTAAATCTTCATACACGTGGTTTGTGAATCACTAAGCTAAATCTTAATACACGTGGTTTGTGAATCACTAAGCTAAACCTTAATACACGTAGTTTGTGAATCACTAAGCTAAACTTTAATATAAGTGTTTGTGAATCACTCAGCTAAACCTAAATAAATATGGTCCATGAATCACTTAGCTAAATCTGAACACACGTGGTCTGTGAATCACTAAGCTAAACCTAAATACTTTTGGTTTGTGAATCACTAAGCTAAACCTTAATACAAGTGGTTTGTGAATCACTAAGCTAAACCTAAATACATTTGGTTTGTGAATCACTAAGCTAAACCTTAATACACGTGGTCTGTGAATCACTAAGCTAAACCTTAATACACGTAGTTTGTGAATCACTAAGCTAAACCTTAATACATATCATATGGTTTCAGAATCACTAAGCTAAACCTTTATACAAATGGTTTGTGAATCACTAAGCTAAACCTTAATACACGGGGTCTGTCAATCACTAATCTAAACCTTAATACATTTGGTTTGTGAATCACTAAGCTAAACCTAAATACAAATGGTTTGTGAATCACTAAGCTAAACTTTAATATAAGTGTTTGTGAATCACTAAGCTAAACCTTAATACATTTGGTTTGTGAATCACTAAGCTAAACCTTAATACACGTGGTTTGTGAATCACTAAGCTAAACCTTAATATAAGTGGTTTGTGAATCACTAAGCTAAACCTTAATACAAATGGTTTGTGAATCACTAAGCTGAACCTAAATACATTTGGTTTGTGAATCACTAAGCTTATCCTAAATACATTTGGTTTGTGAATCACTAAGCTTAACCTAAATACACGTGGTCCGTGAATCACTAAGCTAAACCTTAATACACGTGGTCTGTGAATCACTAAGCTAAACCTAAATACATTTGGTATGTGAAACACAAATCTAAACCT